CATGTACTGTGGGCATGCGCGGCCGCCTGCAAATCAGATACCGGCTCTTTAACGAACGCTCTGCAATGCCGAACACCGTATGGCGTTTCGAATCTAACAACATGAACGAGAGCACGAACGAATATAGCAAATCCTTTTAGGTTGGCGTATGGATGGCTCCCCACTTTGTATTCCATGTATAATACGTTTCAGAAGTAGGGAAATTCGGTCAAATGGAATCAAACTCAATCCATTTCTGCCAAAATCAAGCGATTGAATCCGCTTCGTTTCAGTTCAGTCTAATTCGTTGAAGTTCATTTCAACGAAATGCAAATGAAAGCCCAAAGCAATATTAAGCTACATTTTTCATATTTGTAGTATTGCTAATCTATTATAGTATTGCTAAGATCCTCCCAGTATTAACCATTGAGAGAAATTTTTTGGAACGAACAAACAAAAAATTATATTAAATATCATAATATCATTTATGATATGTCACAAGTCAAAGAAGAAACCAGTGCGTATTCTCTTTTGTTACAGTTGTTTTCATTTTATATCGGTTTTGGTTTTCCGAATGGGTAGTCGATTAGAAAAAGCAGCATGTAGATGGTTCTTAGACGCTGATGGGTGTGATGGGTATTTGCTTATGATTCGCCTTCAAGCGAATATTTGTTGTTTTCTTTTTTTTTTTTGTTTAATAATTTTTTTTTCTTTCATAATGAATTTTGTTTCTATACTAAATTTAATATTTCATATTATTTGCTTATGCCAAAAGTTTGTCTTGAAGAGAAATTTACATTTAATTTTATGTTATGATACATACATACATATATATTAATATACATATATATATATATAACATATATATATATATATATATATATATACATGTTTAAAAATATATTGATTTTGGCCAAAAATTTAATTTTGCAAGAAATTAAAAATCAAAAAAATAAATCAAACGAACGATAATACGAGCTTTTTCCTTGGTGTGGGATGGTCTATGGTTATTATTTTAAATATTTGTTTTTTTTTTTTTTTTAAATAAATATTTTGTGTGCTTTTTTCCTTTTAAATTTTGTTTAATAATTTTGCTTTTGTTTTTTTATTATTTGTATTTATTTGAAGGCAGCTTTGTTTATTGATTTACGTTATCATTCCTTTTTTCTTGTATTGTTTTGCAAAATTTAAAAAAAAAAAAAAAAAAAAAAAAAAAAAAAAAAAAAAAAAAAAAACTTAAGAAATTTTGTTATCTGCGTTGAATTTTGAAATTTTTGTTGTTGTTGTTGTTGCTGTTTTTGTTTTACTATTTATGTTATTGTTGTTAGTGTTGTTGATTATTTTATTGCTTTTATTGATGTTGTTGTTATTGATCGGATATAGTTATTATTGCTGGTGTTCTTGTTGTTGTTGTTACTGTTGCTGTTATTGGTTGTTGATAGTATTGCATTTACTGTTTTGTTTATTGGCTGGTAATTATTATGTAACTATTGCAAGTATAAAATTGCATATTGAAAATGTTGCATTTGCATTAGAAAATACAGAGAAAGAGATACAAAGCGTGAAAGAAATGCGGTGAGGGGGGAAGGGCGGATATACAAACAAAGAAGTATACATATATACAGAATTATATGAAGCACATATATATAAGTCTAAAAGCGCACAAATGCGTTTAGTGATGAGCAAATTTAAGATATATTTATATAAAAATGGTACCATAACGATCCCCTGCAATTAAGCTAAAATTCTACGCGGGGAAGATGATAGCATCAGACTATCAGAGTAGAAAGCAAACAAATGAGCCAAAGAAAGAAAGCATGTGAATAACTCAGGCTACTACAGAAGGCTATCCATCCTACAAAAAAATTCTTTGAAACTTATACTTAACCAACAGTTTGTTAAACAAAAGAGATTCGAGAGAGAAAAAGAGAGATTAATCGATATATTGCATAAACAAAAAAAAAATTTTTAATTTTTATTTTAAATTTTCAATTGAATTTTACTTTCTATATAAAAAATATCCATCTGAACATATGGGTTGAAATGCCAAGCACAGCAGACCGGTTAGCCTTAAAGATGCTGGTGCTTTACTACTTTAGCCTTAGATTTTATTTTATTGGGTAAACTAATTATAATAATAAAAAAGAAAATAAATAATAGAAAATTTTTGAAACAATATCCATAGTCGTCCCTTTATTACGATTAGATCAAATTCAGATTTTGAATATAAGAAGAGCAGAAATGTGTTATTTTTTCGTATAGCTTTCTCAGTAATAATGGGATAGTTGCAAGTCGCTTTAGACAGTTTTAATCCAAAGCGTACCACGAGTGATACCACAAAGTTATTGTTTTTGCTTTATATGTTTATCTATCTAAGTACATTCAAGCAAGCTATATATATATATATAAATGATATACATAGACCAATGAAAAATTTGAAGCTCCAAAATTTAAATGTGATTTAAAGATATATCGGGTGCGGTTCGCTTAATGCTTGATTACAAACACATTTCGAATATACTGTTTTTCTAAAAGTTGTTTCAAACCGACTATAAATTTGATTATAATTTATCGGAACTTTTGAAACTCATCAAGTCCTTTTTAAAAACAAATTAAAGTTAATTTCATTAGCTTCGTAAACTGGCTATAAAGTTAATTAAGATTAACAACTTTAACGGGACGTAGAAGATCATCAAAATTTTAAAAGCTCCGGAAAGTAGTTCAGCGCAGCATGACCGGATGAAGAATGCGCCTTCGAAAACGTAAAACGTAAAGGAATTCGAATTAAAATTTGTATCGTTAATTGCAAAAGTATTAGTAAACAGAAAGGGAGCATTTTTTGGACCGGAATATGTAGGTGATTTTGAAAAAAATGTGGGTAGTAGCTGATATCAAAATATAAAGAAATGATCAATGTTTTTCTAAAGTTGTCTCGGTTTCGAATCTTTTGTAAGCGCGTATGTGGGCAGATGATCACAAGCAAACTTAATTTTTCACAATCGATCAAAGAAAATTTGTGTCAAATATTTCATCCTTCCCACGTTCATATTTTCGACTGTTTGACAATTCGACAAAAACAATCTTTCTGTTGTCTATGTCATCGGCATCTCTGCCCTCTTTCTCAAAGATCTTTTCATGCAATAGAAATTTTTTGAAAAAGGCTTAAAATGACTTACTCCTTCGAGTACTAAAGTTCTAAAGACAATTTCTAGTTAAAATTATAAGCTTTAGTAGAGTTGTTATTGTACTTTACACGTAGTTTACTATATGTTTAATTATTTATAAGGTATTGGAGGAGGAGAGGTAAAGAGTGGATACCCTTTATACTGTGTAGAAAGTTTTTTTTGCCATTTTCAATATGCTTCTTTTCATTAATGCTGTTATTGGAAACCGTTAGAAGAGGTCTCCAATATGTGTAAGGATTTCAATGAATTCATTAACATTTATGGTTTTCGTTTGTTTTCGGAGTTTACAGAATGGAGGTGTTTTTGTTGTTGTTGTTGTTGTAACAGATTATAGTTTGTTGTCTTGGCTTAAAATTCATATCAATTTATTTGTGTTGTACTTAAAAAACAATTAAATTTCTTGACTTACCGTGTTATAATCTCTGGTTTCTTGTGTGCAAAATGTTGACAAAAAAAAGAACTGACTGTGTAGTAGGAGGGTTCACGGCTATAAAATGTAATATGTTGTTTTTGTTGTTTTTCTTGTTATTGTTGTATATGAAAAAATAAATTATTTGATGGTTACATTGTTTGTGGAGGGGGAGTTGAGTTGTTATTGATTTCTGTTGCTGATATTTGCCGAGTTTTCTGTTTTTTTTTTTTTTTTTTTTTTGTTGGAATTTGATTTTTCTTTTTGTTAATATGTTTACTTATCTTTTAATTTAATTGTTTTTTTTTTTTGCTTTTTGTTTTTATTGATGTTTTCGGTTTCACTATTATATGTGTATATTATTGTTATTGTTGTTTGTTTGATTTTTATACTTTGTCTTATAGTTGTAGGTCTTTTTTCTTTTACTATAGGTTGTTGTTGTTGTTGTTGTTGTTGTTTGTACAAGTGCCTATTTGTCGATTGTCAAAAAAACTAAACCAAAAAATATATAAAAAACTGTAAATATATATAAATATATAGAGTTTTTTTGTTTTTGTTTTCCTTTTTCTTTTTTTATACGTATGTATGTACGTTCATTTTGTTTGTATGTATATATGTATGTCTATTTATGCATATGTACTATGTTATGTATGTATATATACTGTTAAGAATGTTTTTGTTTTTTTTTGTTTTTTTATTAACTACAAGAATTAATGTAACTTTTGTTTTTGTTGTTGCTTTTTTTAAAATTTTCTTTTTTTTAGCGTTATTGGTTTTTCTTTTCTCCATTTCCTTAACCAATTTCCTAAGTGTTTTGTTTCGCATGTGATAATTAATATTTAAAGAAAGGAAAAAAGCAGAGTAATGCATGCACATATAGATTTTTCTTCTACCGAGAGTTTTTTTCTTTCTGCCTTCATTTACTTACCACACATACACATACCACTACATATAGACGCAAGTTATTTTTAAAGAGACTGTACACGATAATGCATACGAATTGCGTATGCATTTGTGTGTGTGTGCGTATATATATATATATATATATATATGGGGTGTACGTGTATGTACGTGGGTGGGTGCATGTACTCAATTAATTTTCATTTTTTTTTTTCTTTCTCTATTCTTCATGCACATACTAATGTTCATTTATACACATTTATCTAAATGTACTCTTTTTTCTCTTCTTTGTGAAGTTGGTTTCCATTTTTGTTTGTTTTCAGTTTTACTTAATTAAAAAAAAAAAAAAAAAAAAAAAAAAATTTTTTTTTTTTTTTTTGTATGTGTACATATATGTGTACGTTATGTGAGTGGTTGCGCGGGACAG